CTTACACTACATTTCACATATGAACAATCTCAACAAATATTAACAACTAAACAGTTTTAACACTCCTTTACTCTTTGTTCCCACTTTCTCTTGTTCAGTGAGAGAAACTCTACTGTGTGCTGCCAGGATTTACTACTGTAAATGCCAGAAAAGTTGAGCAGGTTACAATAGAAAAGCTCTGTCAAAAATCTATAATAAATAATAAACCCCCATTGGTGACCTATGCTTTAGATGATCGTGGGCAATTTTTTCCGCTTCAGCTTACTCTTTGGGTGAATCTGTATTTTGACTAGGTGCAAATGGTGCAAATCAACCTATTTATGTAAGCAATGACAAAATTTTGCCTGCTGTTATTCTCACATGTTACTATCCCACAATACCGAGAGGCAGCCAGATTTGGAAGAACTATTAACAGACATCTGGGTAGAGTGTGCTATGTTTGATATCACAAACACACACACACACACACACACATACACACAGCACGCAAACACACACGGTGGGGAGTGTTCACCAAACTGACATTAAGCATATATACCTAATATACTGCTCTGGTCTCCCCTTGGGATAATACTGCTGGAATTCGTGACAACAGCTTCCACCACGGACGATCTACCAGAAACAGAAGCCATCGGCAGGATAAGAAGTGCAGCTGTAAACACACCGCTTGTTCTGGTTCACAAACTTATAATAGGGAACATAGCATCCCTGCCATTGCCACAGTGCTCCCAGAACATCTGGACTTGCACTATGCAACTTTGGTGTCCCGTGCAGTAACATTTGCAACATGCTTTACAGTAATACAAAGACAAGTTTGACAGCAATAAAAACGTTACTGTGTGGTTGGTTACCTACGTTTTTAAAAAGCATGTTATGCAAAATTTGTACAGAATTTATATAGGTATACAGTCAAGAGGAACAATCAGTATGTATGGTTTGTAGTTCACTGAAAAATACCAGCCCTACTGAAAAGTAATTCTTGAAAGAAAGAAAACAATCTGCCACAATGAGATTATTTACCTGATTCACACATGAAATTAAAAAAGTGTTAATTTACCCAGTTATTTACCCAGTGTGAAGATACTGAAATCTGTGAACAATGGATTGACAAAAACTTTAACATGATAAAAGTAGTTTTACACTGCCAGGAGTGCAAAGTTTCCCTCTACACATCTGCTATTGCAGAGACATTTGAGAAGATGTTTAAAACATGATAAACAAATCCAAAGTATATTCATTGGTGAGAGATATTGAAAAATGTGGCAAAAATATATGATGGATAGTGATAGTCTGGCTAGTTTTGACTGCATGGCAACACCCTGTAGCATGCTGTCCACAATGGCGTTCTGAGCCAGGGCAGGATCTTGAATGTGGTTGTAATAGGCCAAAAGATAATTGGATGCTTTGAGTACTTTACCCTTGCCTACTCACACCTGCCAGATGGGCAGATCCAGTTGGGGATGAAACCAAAAAGGCTACAGCATGATGTTGACACTTGGTGCAATTGTACATTTGACATGCTGGAGACTCTTCTGGAACAAAAGCGTGAATTTGCTACATATGCTGCAGACTGCGATCTTTGCAACTCTCATTGTGCACCAGTAGGCATTAGTTGAAAACTTTATCCTACTTCTCTCTTTGTTTGAACTGACAAGAACAATTTTGCTAATCAGAGGCAACGTCTGGAGATGTGATCCCCTCGGTGAAAGCCCTGAAACATCTTTTACGTAAGGGTGCTGACACAGATCATGGTAGTATCAAAATAATAGCAACTTGATGATTCCTTTGCTGAGGCCACTGTGCCCAGAAATGAGTCTGCACTCTGACATTGGAGAAATTATCACCTGAGTTTAGTACCAGTGTGCCCCATGCACCAGCACTGACAGTGAGCAGCTGTTCACTTCACATTTTCGATTAGACTAAGGCTTTTCCTGAGATCATGAATTTTGGTAATTATGTCAAACTGACACATAGAGAAACTTTTAGATGTTTACAAGAACTCAAAATAATTTTCTGTTTGATCAAGCAATGCTTGGATGTGTCACATGAGTGTGTGATGATGGACACACAACAGGTTGCTTCTATACAAGGAAATCCCACAAGCCTGTGTCTGCTAAATGTCACATCCACACACACACACAGATGCAGAAACAATCATTCTCCACAGAGAAGCCCCATTTACTGTCAGCTCTACACTACCTCTCATTAGCTTTTCAGTACAGGCTAATTGGCTTTGAATTGTG